TTAAATATAAAAAGAAATTAAAAGTCATTACATAATAAATGAACATTAATTGAGATATTTTTTTTTATATTGCATTTTGACACCACAGATAACATATAGGTTATAAATGAAGTGTCAGCAGATAAATATAAAAATAAATAATTTTAATAAACATATCAAAATGCATTGTGACCCTTAATCTTTTGGATTTAGAGTTCATTTTTGGTATAAAAATATGAGTTGAATAATTGAATCTCCTTCTGGCTTAACGTTACGATTTGTATCCATTAACATCAGTCATGAGTTTTTTATCTGTTCCTCATTAAAATATAGGAAATTTTATATATAATTATGATTCAAAATATCTAGAAAATGTGGTAGTTTTGGTAGAACTAATTGGATCATATAATATATTTGATTTTTATCAGTAACTTGTTCTTGAGTATGGATTTGTTAGCATTAATTAAATTGAATAAAAACGACTGTAATTTTTATTCTATATTATTAATGTGTTACTCGTTTTATCACATTTTAAATAAATTATTGATTTTTAATGATAATTATTTACAAAAAAATATATAAATAAAACAAAAACAAAATTCAGCTGTGTGTTCAGGGTTTAAAAAATATTTTATATCACGTCACACAAAAAATTAGATTTTATATATATTTAAAAATTTTGGTTCACCAAAAAATATTACATACAATTAAGCCAAAATTAAGATATTATTTTTTTAATTCTTACACTAAAAACATAATTTTATGCTAATTTATTAGTTATTAAAATATTTTTGAAGATATTCCTAGATAACAACAAAATCTAAATACTGTACTATTTAAAACCATTGCCTAGCACTTAGAGATGGAAATAAAAAAAAAAATCCAACAGTGGAAACGTCGTTGTAACCCACGCCTTTTAGTTCTATACAGACTCCCGAACGCAGTCCATCACCGGCCGTTATAAAGCGCGCGCGTTCGATTATTTCAAATATGGAATCCGGGAATGGATTCCAATTGATGCGCGAATTCGAATTTAGAATCGAATGTTTTCGAAATGGAGTGACAGTTGGTGTTTTTTTTTTTATTTCCCAAACGGTTGCTATTGTTCGAAGACCGGGTGGGTAATGTATGAAAAAAAATAAAGTCTCTCAAAATGTAAGTTTTCATGAGAAATTTTTGTTGTTTGAGAATGTATCAAATCGCAACTCGTCATAAAACATGTTTATTTTACAGTGTCGTTTTTGTGTTGCAAATTTAATAACGTTAAGCGAAAAAATTTTACAAAAATTATATTTATTATTGTTTAAATTATTTTTTTATTTTTCGAAAGCTATTATTCTAGAGAAAATAAAAATTTCTTAAATTTTAAAAAAACATTTTTAAAAACTTATCTACTTATTTTAAAGAGATGCATATTTATTTCATATTATCTTTATAAAGTATAACTATTTTTAATTTAATCGTGTTTACATATTATAATTGTAGGTAAAGTATAGAAAAATTTAAAATAACCAAATGTAATGATTTTAAATTAATAGAAGATAATTTATCAAACATTTCTAATCAAGATATAAATTGCATGCAACAAAGATAATATAATATTTTTTATTCAATCCTTATTGCATATACATATTTATTAGAAATAAACAAATTTATTTCAATAACACTAAAATTAATATATTACTATTCAAAAAAACTATACCAATAAACGGAATGCTCATCTTAAATGTGTCATTTTTGTACAAAAAACGTATATCATTATCTTATCAGAAACTTTAAATAGCTGTGGTTTAATACTTATCATGAAAGCGGACATTAAAATGTTTTACGAAAAATACAACATACGTTTGACGTTCATCTGACTGCAAAGGTTTTATATACGCGAAACCTTTTTGGTAATTTCATAAGTTTCAAATTAAAAAAAGATACGTTTTAAAAAAAATATATTTGCATGCATTATGTAATAACATTCCAATGTATCATGATTAGCCGAATATTTGGCAAGTTTAGATCGAGATTTTTACATCACTACCGCATTGCATACATTTTTTATCTCATGTTTTATTAAGAGAACATTTTTATGATATCAAAAGTTTATTTTAAGAATAAATATCAAATATAAAAGCTTTGCTATTGACATTTTTTTTATAATAGAAATAAATTTAATACTTTTTTCTTAATAGTAATTTAATATAGTAACCAAAGTATTGAGAATATATGAGTTTTAAATATGTTTTCTTAAGGAAATCCTTTAATATTTTAAATCCCGACGCTATGATGTCACCCGTTTTGTCATCACTATCAAGAGTATGCCCAATTCACCTAGGTCATGTCTGTTGATGAGAATTGCATTGTTATAACGATTAACAACTGTACTCTTAACTGTAACGAATGTACTGTTAATCATTGTACTCCAATTGTACTCTATGAGATTTTCAAACAATGAAAACGACTGACAATTCATTAATAAAAACATGACATTATCAAGCCTAAAGTTTAACAGCAAATATATAATTATATTTATATATGAAAAGAAATCCTTTATAATAATTTGTTAAGATATATTCATGCAAGATGAAGCGGGTTAATTCATGCTTTAGGAGGTATTCTTCTTATTCAATAGCCTCTGAACCTGTTGGGGAAACACTAGTATAATAAACGAAAATATGTCTCAAGCTTAAGACTGTAGGTCAAGATTAATGCCAAAATAATGCCGTTCTTTTATAAATGCAATCAACTTTGTAAGAATATAATATTACCTCTATATAAGAGAACAGTTAGGTGTATTCAATAGTAATCTTCATAAAAAAATCGCATTGTAGATAGCATCTCTTATTATCAGTGTGGTACATAGTCGTCGAAAAAGATATATTTTTTGTTTTATTTGGAAGCGATAATTTGGAACTCTTGTAAAACTCTTGCTATTAAATATGTAAGATTTTTTTGTAAATTATTTATTTTTATTTTGCAAAATCTTTAAATAACGTAGAAATTGTTTTGATACCTGTCATTGAAAAGATAAAGAGACTTACGTTTTATTTAAAAGGAAAGAGATATTCAAATTTAATTAATAAAGAAACAAAGAAAGTATGTAATACAATAAATAACATTTGAAATCAAATTGTATGATTTATATTTCTATAATGAAACCATACAAACCTTATACCCATTATAATTGACTTATTTTTTTTATGAAAACCCCTTTAATAACATTATAGAAGATCTGTTTACATAAATGTATTAAAATTTATCATGTTTGTTGCTGATAAAGATGAGTGAGTGTTAATTATTTGAACATCAGAATTTCAGCCAAACATAGGTACATATTATATACAAAACTTCACATAAATTACGGTTTGAAGTAAAAAATACAAAAATGTAAACTAACCATCAATTAAATTTTAAACACTGAGCAGATAGCCGCGTGCATCGGAATAGCGCTTAAGTGTAAACATACGTTGACGGATTTATTTACATTAATGTAAACTAGATGGTACAGTTGCTAAAAAATTTTTGCTAAAAATTACTTCACAAAGGTGGGTGGCGACCTTCTAATGTGGTATTTTTAAACACATCTTTAACACCACTCAGTTCGCGAACTTTGGATTTAGTTGTTTACACGAGTATGTCAAGGATGAAATGATTGGATTGGATTTACAGATTAATAAAAAATACAGAGACTTTATGCCGATGAGTATTCCTATAAGCTACTCTATGTTTCACCAAATTACATTTAGTTGTGTCTTCTTATATAAATGTAGACGTTAAAACAAAAGAAAGTGACATTGATTTAATTTAACTAATTGCCAAAATCTAATTAAGTATGCAAAATATTTTCCTTAAACAGAACAAAGAGTTAAGGAAAAATAGTATTTTAATGACGAAAGCATAATATCTGTTCTGTGAACATAGAAACATAGTATCCTTAATAGTTGCAATAGGCATTTATTAATTCTTGGAAGTTTTAAGTCTGTTAGCGGAGGCCGGCGTATTCTAGATAATGTAGGAAATTAAGACTTGACATACAAATATAGAATGAATGAAAATTATATATTTTTATATAGAAACAAAACATACACAAATACATTAAGTGAATTGAAAAAATAGCACATATAAAACATATACATATTTCAAATTAATCAATATTTAGTGGACATTTTTATTTTTACTTTTACCCATATAAAATACCTCATTCAATATTAAACCTCTCTTCTTCGTTAAAATCTCGCTCCAATAGTATCGGGAGTGACATATCACAGAATTTCTACTTGAATATTAAAGTTTATATATTGTAAAATAGCTTACTAACAATACCAAGATAATGTACATATAGATTATAGAGGCGATGTTCCTCGTAAATGCTTTCCTAATCGGGATTTGAACCTGCACTCGATTGTAGCATCCAAATAATAAATTAACTATTCCTACATAAGGTACATTAAATTGATATAATCTAAATATTATTCAAATATTTAAATTATCTTGTCTAAAAACATATAGAAAGTAGGACGTAGACTAAAGCATTTTATTTAATTGCAACTTGCAATTCATTTCTATCTATGCTTAAATATATATTGAAATATTTTTCTATTTGTTTCAGGTCATTGAGAAGACAACGTGATACACAGCGTTTTCTATACACATTTTTTATCCTAATTTTTAATATATTATATTTTTTAACAAGTTTTTATTTTATTGTGATGTTTAAATATATTTTGTGTTTGAGCGAATTAAATGTATTTAAATTATTTTATAACATCCACGGAGGCAGTGTGAGGTGATGGAAAAATGCATAATTGTAATAAAGAATGGCGGTTTTTTATTATATATTATGGTGATGAGTGATGATGAAAGGCTTCCGTGATGGTATGGAATATGACATTTACATTTAAGGCTGTGTTTACATATCATTAATGAATTATTATAACATATAAGTCGGCTAGGATAAGCATTTAAGTATTTAAATACGGGTGAAATTATGAAATATATCTTGGTGTTAACGAACTTGACTCTTTATACAATTGTTTCTAATCCATTATATTTCATTTTTATTTACTTATAAACCATATGTTCTCTCTCTACCAGATATGCGGCGTCACAACAACTTCAAGGGTCTCAAGATGATAAACTTCAGGTTCACCAACAAGGTCCTGCAGAATGAAGTGGCGGAAGCCTTCCTTAATATACACATCCAGGAGTTAGAAGCTAGACATAACGTTACATTAACAGAAGATCAGTTCAATGTTAATACACAAGTCAATAGGGTTACGCGTAATAGTCAAGGGAATAAGGCGTCCGTTCTTTATTCAGAGAGATCTATAAAGATGTCCAGGAAAGATCTGAAAGTAGGTCGTTGGGTTAAGATAAATGTGACCACAATGGTTGCAGAATTCTTCAGGTTGCCGAGAGAGAATCTGGCTATAGTCGTGAGAGTACAAGACTCGAAAAATAGACTGAGTTTGGGAGTGCCACATCTCAACTCGGAATCAAATGCTTTGGTAAGTCGAATATAAATACGTAAACATGTAAACTTTTAATATGATTTAAGTCAAGATTTATTTTTAACCATATTTATTTAGAATAAGGAAAACATTATTTAACCAATACCCATTATTTAACGACTTCTCTTGAGCCTCTATAAATATCAATTATATCCTATACTGGTAATAAAAGGCACATAAATTATCATTTTAAGAATCATAATTTTCATCTGTCTACGTATTGAATTGGCTTATGATCGGGTCAATATGTAGGTCAATCGAAGACGTGAAAGCGATGTATAAATGCATCAGTATTGCTAAATTCCAACCATCAAATATACTAGTTTTGCCGGCAGGTTCACTCGTACCTAGTTTAAATAAAGTGTTATTTAGAATAGCCATTGCACTGTCAGGAGAAGTCTTTCTGAGTTTATTGTGTGTATAAAGTCTATTTTATTGGATTTGATTGTAGTTGAAGCATGTATATTGTATATTACAAATACAAAAATTAATTTACGTGTTTGTGCTTAAATGTATGATGTAAAGTTAATTAATTTTAGTATACCACTTGCAAATTCCCTGACATGAAAAAAAAAATTTAAGTCTACCCACTCATAACAAAAAACAATAATAATATTATATGCCGCAACGGTTTAAAAATCTATCGTATTTAACAGATGTCTGTAATCTACGAATGTATGACCTAAAAATTGGCGAAATTTATTTTGAGAACTCTAGTTAGCGACGCATATTCAGAACATGTTTATCGTTATTGCGAATATTTATTATTTCATACAGATAACCCAGTTAATAATTAAATTTTAACCTTGACAATTTGATTTTAGGAAACAAGTCTGCTTATTATGTTTAAATATTATTCCTTTTTTGAAACTTACATATTTGAGACTATATTTATAATATTTTTGTTTCAGATGCCTTACATAGAAGTAAGTCTAAGGGATAATTCGCACAAAAGAACCCGAAGAATGATCGGGATGGATTGCACAGAGAATTCAAAAGAGGCCAGATGCTGTAGGTACCCTCTCTCGGTAAACTTTGAGGAGTTCGGTTGGGATTGGATCATAGCGCCTAAACAATACGACGCCAATTACTGCAGCGGCGAATGTCCTTACAGCTTCCTACAGAAATATCCCCACACCCATTTAGTCCATTTGGCTGCTCCTCAAGGCAGCGGAGGTCCGTGTTGCGCTCCTAGAAAGATGAGCAGCATTTCTATGCTGTACTTCGATCATGATCTTAACATCATCTACGGAACCATACCGGGCATGGTTGTAGAGAGTTGCGGCTGTTCATAGCGACAGCCATCTCTTGCAGTACGGCCTGCAATCGGACGTTTGAAGACCTCATTCTCTTCTTTCGTATTTAATTTACTTGGGACTTTAAGTAGTGTCTCCATTGTGATACAATCTGTCGAAGACTGTGAACCCTTGTGATGTGTGTCGTGAGTGTGACTATGTACATTTATTAGTACATCTAGTATAATATTTTCATTTTCTGATATTTTTTTTTCGTTTATCCCAGTATAGAATGGATTCGTTAGCTTTCATAAGACTATATAATATATTAATGTATAATGCCATTAATTTAAATGAAGTCTACTTATGTATTTTTAACTCATTTATGTATTTTATTTATATGTTCTTGGTCGTATATCTAAAAAGTGTATAGATTTCTTTATTTTTTTCAAATCGTATTATTTTCTTGAAATTACGGTAAGTGTGGATATTTGTATTGTAATAAGATAATTCTGATAAAACTATATCGTTTCCAACGTCATAACTTTCTATTTCTGAAGTGGCATTTATTTTCGGAATAGATCTTAAATACTAGCATGTAAGGTATCTTTTCATTTGTAAGTAGCTAAAATGTAACACAGGCACATTTGTTCAATCCGATCAAAATTCATATTGATTTTCATATTATTAATATTCCTTAAAATTTCTATAGGACATGTAACTGCCAAGAAAATAACAATAGCATATGCAAATTCATTGCACACAATGGAGCCTTTTAAATTTAAAGGTTTGCCCTTGGAATGAGGTTTTTGAACTAACATTTGAAAACAATGGTTGTACATTTATATAAAAGGTCTATTTGTCATTGCATATGAAAAAATGTTATTTTCTTATTATATTTATTAACAATCTGTGCCTGTGTTAATTGTCTTTAGAACTGTCAAACTTGTTGTTTGCATGAAGTGCCTATCGACATTCTTATATGAACCATCTAAATTTATATTTAAGTAGTTAGTTTTTTTCTGTAACGTCTATGTATTTCTAATATCTTACTCGTAAAAAATTCTCTTGACATCGTTTGGATCTCGTTCAAAATTATATTTTTTATAAAAATGGTTTTACTAGTTTTAGCGGGTGGTGCTTAAATGTAGGGTTTTTGTAATGTTTCATTGACGCCAGTACCTACCCTGTAAAATAAAGCGTATTATATTTAGTCTTTGTAAGTTTTAGAAGTGTTTGAATATGAAATTTTCAAAATTAGATCTCATTTTGAGGCAGCCGTTTGATTTTTTGGTTTGTCGTCAAGATCTCCCGTTGCGTTTGACATTTTAATTTTAATATAATTATTATTATTTTTTTGAGTTTGCAATGGAAATGTTTCTCTACAAACATTTTAGTTTTAAGTACAATTGTTCTCTATCTTCCGTAAATCGTTGAATGATCAAAATTTTAACTAACAATCTTGTGTCAGGAATTTTGGAATAAATTTTCAATCTACAGCTTGATTTTTATTATCGTATCTATAATACAATAAATATATATAAATGTATAATTTTACTAAGACTATTTTTAGACTCTTTTATCTTAATATTAGATGGTTATCGTAAATAAATGAAATATATCAGTATTCGCGGCTGTTCTCACAGAACAGACACTATTTATTTATATATAAACTTTAAATTATTTACACATTCTGTTCGTCCTACTTTACATTAATATACTCAACGTTATTAAAATACAATCAAAAAACAAAAAAATATATATAACAGAAAATACACAAGACCCATTTACAATAACATTTAGTTAAGACAGTGGGAGTAAGTTGGACTAGTTTACCCAAATACAAAAAATAAACCTCCCGATTACTTTTTTTTTTACATTCCATCTAAAAGTATTACATAAATGTTGGCGCTAATATATATATAAATTATATTGTTATGAATAAAAGCCAACATTTCGAACACTTCAGTCTAATATATTGCTTAGTCGATCCAAAATATACATGAAATCATTCTATGTACCTGTATCAAGTCTAATTAAAACAATTCCTTATATTCCATATAAATATAGTTCATGGCATAAAAACGTTAGTGAAACGAAGAACGTAAAAGGTAATTTTTTTTTCATTAAAATTCTAACATCTAGAAGATCGTGCGTCGAGTGGTTTCAGTCTATATTAACTTGGATGGATTACTGTATTCCATAGAAAGATAAAAAATAAAGCACGCATCAATGTAATGGCAGTGTCGATACAAATAAAAGAACCTAATATAAAAATTAAACATCACAGTTTTTTAAACCTAATAATAAAATATTATTTTTGTTTGTTTTGTTTTGAATGCCATGTTTCTGACAGAATTTCGATAGTATAGTAAGGTCACACATGAAGTAGTCTAATACTAAACGCTAATTATATACATTACCGTGTACGGCGTCACAAATGAAACGAACGGTCGAAACACTGAAACTTGAGCCGTTATATTTAAATAGGATCACAGTGGAAAAAGTGATTTAAACTTACATTTACATCTAAACTATAAATACATGTTTATAAAGTCCACGTTATGGCAAGTTTCTACAACGCTATCACTCGCTGGTGACACTAAAACTCTAAGTTCATAGAAAAATTATTTGCCTATACTGTACATTATGTTAGTCACTATCACTGGCGAACCGATTGAGGGTAGTTCAGAAACTGGGTTGCGACACAGTCCTCTGGTTGCCGGTCTGCGGTTGATAGACATCGTATGAGTTGTGCGGCTCAAGATGACACACGACGTTGTTTTCTCCGTTAAGTACAGCAGCTAGGGCCCTCATATTTTCTTGAGGCTGGTAATGCATCAGTCTGCCGCTTTCGTAAGCGTGTCGCGGATCGTATGGCCGTTCTATGGCGTCCCATTTGCCGTATTTCCCGTAATGCTCGGTTTCGTGGTGGTGTCTTTCGCCGGGGCTGTATGATATCAAAGGTCGATGATCCCCGAAAAATTTGGAGCTCGTCGACCCGTGGTGTCCAGGGTTCTGTCTGCAGTTGTCCGGTCCGGAGTTATCATCGGACATATCGGACATGAGCGTCTCATTTCTTTCGATTTCTTCGTAAACGGGATCGTCTTGTATCACTCTGAATTCTTCTGATCCTCGTCTGTATATTCGTCCTTGTTGCGACGCGATCTCGGAGTATGTGTGGTTGACGTTCTGACTGCCGTGGTGATGATGTTTCCGCCTGTTTTCGTCCTTGTAGTGTTTCCTGAATATCATTTCTTGACTGCCGGGAGAGTGTTGGGACATGAATACGTGTGGGTTTCTGAAGTCGTGGTTGTAGCTCCTAGTGGTTTGGTATCCTTGGTGATGTAGAGGAGATTCTTCGTCTTTAATGATGTGTCGAGGGGATCCTGGTGCGATTTGTCCTTCGCACTCATTGTACGCGTTATGAAGGTGATTCTGTTGGGCCAATTGACGAGACAGAGTATCGTGATGAGGTAAGGTTGCAGCATTCACTGGGTGGTGTTTAGAAGAGGTGTTCTGTGAAACGGATTCGATATCTTAACAAGTGTTATATTTTTATATATATGGAAAAACATTTAGAAAAAATCATAAAAGCTAAAGACAGCTCAATTTTTTTCTTATCATTGATTTTATTGACTGAAAAAAAGGTATCTAATAAAACTAGATGATTTTATCTCAGATGATGTGTGTTTTTGTTTGGTATCTAGCAAATGAAAATGGTTGAAAATAAAATAGAAACTAATCATAACGACGGTCGAAATGACGGATACAAAGAAATAAATCATTGATTAATTAGAAGGAGTCGGGATGGGCTACAATGTGCGTCAAGGTGATTCATGCAATGCTATGTTAGGTCATGCAGTTAGCGCACCTAAGTAAGATCTCTAATAACCGTCACCTGAAAGATACATACATATTAGAATAAATTGTACTAAAGAAATAGCAGTATATATTTATCGCAGTTTTTCCAACGACGTCATTTAAACGACTAGTATTTCAGTCCTGCTCAATACCTTACCTTTAAATACATTTATTTATTTCTTTCAGAATACCGAGATCTTACCAAAATGCCGATAATAAAACGTAAAACACTCTATTGCCGCCCTCCCCTCACCTTCCAGACATTGCCTGTATTCGCCATTAGCGCCCAGTCGTTCGCGCCAATCGACGCCGCCATTTTGTTGGAATAACAAGATGGCGACCGCGATCGAAGGTTCTGGTAATCGTTGGGCACTTCTATATTGTTTCTGTAGCTATGCATCGATGCTATGCTGTGTGAGTGTGAGGAACTATGAGGTATGTTTTGTGGGGTCGGCGCCCGGGCGTTTCTTATGTCTTCGTTCCCGTTTGGAACATATAATGGCGCTGTTGGACGAATATTCCATCGAGAAGCCTCCGGTTGTAAGTTGTAGCTCTACATAGATAGAAAAATACATAAACATACATATATACAATCAGTCGAAAGATACTGGAAAGATGCTAAAAGATACGATAGTGTTCAAGATCACGCATTACTTCTAGAGATAGGATTTCTCTTTGAGATATAATTATTTTAATATTATAGATTATAATCAATATTAAAATTACTATATCTCATAAATAACTACAATTCTAAAACCACCACACCACTAACGAAGAGTTATTCCTGAAGATATCGTATTAGTAATTTGTGAAGCGTTAGTCTGTTAGTTACCCATTATAATAAAATAAAGTTACTTACCGTAGCTTAAACTAAAACAGATAGAAATGTTAGTGACACAAAACACATGTTATATAACACAAAAACTGAGCTGTCTTCATAATTATTTTAGCGAGGCCAAGTGGTTGGTGGTTCGTATTAAATCCTATCTCTATATATAATGCGTACCTTGTTGGACGTTCTGTCTGTATCCTTGCGAAAACCTGCCGCTGCCGTGGTTTAAGGGATTTCTGAGATGTGTCATAGGAGCTGAAGATTCCCTATCGGGGAGGTTGTGTGGGAAATTGGAGGAAGCGTTAAGTGTAGGTCCAAAACTAGTTGATGGACCAAAATTCTGGTTTTCCTGGGAATTTCTACGGTTTCTATGGTAGGAGTGTGCTGCGGCGGCCGCGGCTAACGTGGCGACTGACGAGTTGTTGATCACATTGTTGTTGTTGTGATTGTTGTTGTTGACGACTACGTTAAGATTGTTGATCACGAGATTGTTCGTCATCGACGCTGATACTGACGTGCTCGCTGAGTTCTGTCGTTAATTGTACGTTATATATTTTATATATCTTAAACCCTCCACCCAAATCAACACATAACTTTACTATGTAAAACATGTTTGTTTAACTAGTCAATAATTCCTCCACCGATAAAACATTTTACACAACACATACAAATCAATTCCCACATATATTTACCATAGGACATGTATCATGTACGAAATAGTTTTTGTCTCACCTGTATCATTTAAACTATACCTGATATGTTTGGTTATAATATGTGTATTGGATATAATACATGCGATAGTATTGAAATGTGTCAAATGGCCATATACTCTTACGAGTTACATTAATCAAGTCCAAAATCCTAGACCTTGCTATTGAAATCCTAACATGATATTTTAAACTTATATAGGGTGTTCCTAATTATTATTCGACTATGTTTTTACCGTGGCGTCTCTCGGGTCCAATGCATCATCATCGGGTTGGTAGCGGCGACTCTTGAGTGATCCTTGTCTTGTGTCGTGTGAAGTAGGTTCTAATTGGAAACATCGAGACAGCCAAGGGTGACGACGGCATACACGACCGCATTGAGATCGAAACTGAGGAATTAATAGTAATTTTAATGGAAACTAGTACTAAAGGTCTTCTTCCTGGCAATTTCCTAGCTTTAGCCAGGGTATGCCTGCTCGTACTAAAGGTATTAGTAATATGTGATATTTCATCTTTGATAAGTTCGAGATGTTTAAGTAATTTATATTGTTATTCTATTGGGATATTTTTATCCCTACTAATATTATAAATGCGAAAGTAACTCTGTCTGTCTGTCTGTCTGTCTGTCTGTCTGTCTGTCTGTTACTCTTTCACGCCTAAACCACTGAACTGATTTTAATGAAATTTGGTACTGAGATAGAGTTGACCTTGAGAAAGAACATAGGATAGTTTTTATCCCAGACTTTTGAAACGTTCTCTTGGAAACGCGATATAACCGAACTCCACGCGGGCGAAGCTGCGGGCGGAAAGCTAGTATTATATAAAAGAAATATTAAATAATTGGGCGAATATCGATGAGAAATTAATGATTTTATTACAAGTAAAGACCATGTCGAAAAAATATCAAAAAGATTTAATGTAACAAAAAATATTAGTTGCAATTCATTAGAAATGGTAGTGTACTTACAGTTTCATTCTTCAAACAGTGGAATATAAAGATGAATAGTCCTTGTAATGAATTCAGTATCGTGAACACATACGCGAAGATGGTCGTTTGTTCATTCAGATACAGTAAGCCGAATGTCCAAGTCAAACCAAGTATTATAGCCAACATGATCGAACTTTTGAGCCATACCCTGGAAAATATTAATCAATTAGTCATAATAATTACGTTTAAACATAGTTATCCTACTAATATTATAATTGCAAAAGTTTGTGAGTGTGTATATGTCTGTTTCTTTTTCACTCTCAAACGACTAAACCGATTTTGACAAAATTTTGTATACAGGAAGCTGACGTCCAGGAATAACACATAGGCTACTTTACATAGGGTAACACCGCGGGGCGCAGCTAGTAGTAATATAAAACTTACTTGAACTTGTATAAATTGGAATTGTCTTTTGATTTGATCGATACATTAGTGTGACGACACATTCTGTTGATGACCATTCCTAGACAGATCCAGTTTGCCTGAAAATATAAGAAAATCTTTTAGACACTCATTTTAGACTATTACAATGTGAAAACTTCTTTTTGGGAATAAATTTATACTAAGATGTATGTCAAAGAAGTTATTCTGATTTATAATGAATAACACTTTAGCTCAATCGGTAAATTTACTGGAATGAGTTATTCTAGTGGCTACCCATTCAAATACAATTGGTATAGAAGAAATTTCATTCAATATTTCCTATTTTAATTCTAATTCAAGCCTTATGTCTTACACATAATAGCAATGTTTGGTACGCTCTTATGTTTAAGACATGATATTGGAATATACGCTAATATTCTAAAAGCAGTTATAAATAGACCTTAAACCTATATAAATAAAGTTCATTTACCACAAGCACGACGATAACAGGTCCCACGAAGCTCATTATCAGCATTCTATCAGTTGTTAGCCAGCAGTGATGTTGGGTTCCGTACCCCGTGGGGTAAATTGAGGCTGACACAAGTACTATGACCGCGGGGGACAAGTATGCCCCCGTATAGTACCAAAATATACGGGGCCTTTCTGGTTCGAAAACTTCTACCAACATCGCGTACAGATGGAAACCTGGAAAGTAGAAAAGATAATATGAGTATATGTTCTGATTTTGACAAGATTTTTGGTTGCTTTATGAGAGTATATAGAATAAAATAAAAATTTGCCAGTCCTAAAAATTTATGTATATAGAAGATGAAAATTTGAAACATCGTTAAATCCAAGTAGGTCTTACTTAATTAACAATAATATATATCAGAAAATTTGTACTTCGTTAAATAATGTTGACATTGTAATACCATAATAAATTAAAATAACATCATAATGATTGACTTCAAAGAATGAAACAATAAAACAAGTAAATAACATTCATTAATATGTCCTGCGCACGCGCATACCTTCTAAGAACATCCACGCGAAAGCTGCCAAGAAGAAGTAGTGGAGTGCGCCAGCGACAAGTCCACATAGAACTCTGTGAGACGTAGACTCAAGACCTAGCATGAGAACTAGCTCACCGGCTAATAGACAGAAACATAGGTGTTTGTGGATCAACACGCGCTCCGACTGAAAATATAAATATATATGTAAATAATTAATAATGTAATGTTTCTAAATAAAAAGTATGTATTGAGATTTTAATTTATATCTTGCTAACTAACTCTTTATGACTTTCTTTTATATATAGTTCGGTCAATAAGTTAATTTTTTTAATTGGATCCAATGCAATATTCCGTTTTGTCCATTGATTAAGAATATTTTAATACATTTTTTGTATGAAACAATTATTTAATATTTGCATATCTATGTTCTTAATGATTTTTAAAAGGAAAATCTAAAAATATCCATTATGATAGTAATTTATTATCAAAATATGCTAAATCGTATTATCAAACCCACCTTCATATTCCTGACGCAGTGGAAGACAGCTATAGCCGCGATTAGGGCGACACTCGACACTCCACAACCTATCATCGTGATCAACCTGAGTGGTAGCGCGTGGGCTGGTGGGATCATTCCTCGAACGTCCATAAGAACCGCGAAGTTAGTGAGATGAGAACACGCGCAACCTGTATGAGTGGTATTCGACCATTCGACGTGGCAACCCTCGGATGACCAACCACTATAAAGATAGAAATTTATTCATTATAATAATATACTACCATAAATAACCATAGAAGTAATACTAGGTGAGAATTATGGTTACAATGAGCAAAAATTCTGATAACATTTATTAAAAAAAACTAGCTTTCCGCGCGGAGTTCGGTTATATCGCGTCTCCAAGAGAACCTTACAAGTCTGGGATAAAAACTATCCTGTTCTTTCTCAAGGTCAACTCTGTTTGTACCAAATTTCATTAAAATCAGTTCAGTGTTTTAGGCGTGAAAGCGTAACAGACAGACAGACAGACAGAGTTATTTTCGCATTTATAATTTTTGTAGGGATTAAGGTAATTTAACTAAAGAAGTGCTAGTGTGTTAATATTATTAAATCTTTGAGGATATTTTGATCTTTGATCTTCATTAAGTTAAGAGCCACTCGACTCGACACCACAAAAGGCTTCTCATGTATTGTATAGTTCGCTGAATACAATATAGAAGTCTAGAAGTCTTTTGTTAATTTTCAATGACATTTAAGAAATTTCAAGATCAAAAAATGTATGAGTGCTACTTTGATGATTAATACACTTTTAAAGTATATTAAACTTAGTTGGACTTAAAGAATATGTGTATTAATTCACTTACTGTAATGTATAGTCCCAAAATACACAGACAGGATTCGTAACATTTTCAATTTTCAAATGTTTCATTGTCAATTGCACCATCTGTGACAACTGTATGTGTCTACCATTACCAAGACTGGCTGAGATCACCTGAAAACAAAAATATATGAACTACTAAGATTTCACGCGACTTCTCTTGTGAATAAAACATAAATTCTATTTTATTAATACCACATAAATAATTGCAGACATGCTATTGAATGTTAGTGATAAAATCTCAGTTGAATAATAAAAACATGAAGTAGTAACAAACAAAGCATATTTCAACAAAATAGTCCAATACTTGATGATACAATCTAGTACAGATCAAAAAGATCCTTAACTCCATACCTTAGAGTTTAAAACTCGTGTGACATTTTTCTTTTCCTTTTCTGAGTTAATACTTGTGGTGCCATCTGTTGAGTAAGCTGCGAACTGTGGACTCTTCCCAAACGTTGGAGGAAGAATTTCTTCTAAACGATCAAACGCGAAGAACACTATACGGACTAGGTCTATTGGGTGGTTATCTGGAATAAATAATATTAATTGTATGGTTTAAAAGAATTTTATAGCATTGATATGGAATTTATTTTTATATTAAGATCCAATGTTAGTTAATCAGTAGCAATAATATGATGGTAGATTTTTTGCTTAGTGTCAAGGGACATTTTTATAATCAAATTTAATTTTCTTTATTATATCAAATTTATTAACTAGATTACCAACCAAGTAAGGCAAGTTTGGGTATAGTGATAGTGTCTTCGGAAGCCTTCCATTGCTCTTGAGCTATTGCCGATGGGAAAGTTTCATCTTCAACATTTTTCACTTCAAGTATTCTCACTGATAGACCTGAAATATTCAATATAAATTATATTAATGTAAGAACCAATTAATCTTGAAAGTTTAAGGCTATCAAGACTTTAATTTAAGATTTATAAACTAAAAGTTAATTTCAATAGAATAATAGTTATACGTACAGATGTTTTTGACAATTTGCAATATAGTCTTCTCTTTTGTAACAGCGTCGGCTAATAGAAATGCATTTTCTTCCAATTGAGTTAATAGAGCGCTTGCAACTCTATTCTGAGCATCCGCACTTAAATCTGACCAGGAAGCTCTTTGACTTTCTTCTAGAAGATTTGAACCTAGAAAACACAATTTTAATAAGAAGATTTATAACGATATAAAATATTAGCTTGTTTGATTTTAATTATTTATATAAAAAAATACTTATTGGTGTATTTTTGTATAAGCTAAACTTTTGAAGAAAATAAGTTATTCTTATATAGTAAAATAATTTTTGATCAAAACATTAATATGAATATTTGTTTAGTTTAGTTAGTTTGTTGTTGTTAAGATTAATTTAACGCTTTAAAGAATTTATCAGTTTAAAAAAAATATAAAAATTATCAGGGATTTTACTTTTAGAAAAAAAATTTGATTACATGGTCCACTCATTCTGATAACTATGATTTTGATCAATCAACTCACCGGTTTTAATAACTCCAAGCAGCATATCAGTCACAATAGCTTCTTTTTGTCTCGGATCAGGGAATGTCTGTACGTTCTGTGACATCCGCTGTGCAAGCTTCTTCATTATACTAGTAGTTGTCATCATGTCCCCACCATATAAAGTTTTTGACGAGGTCACCTGTTTTGGAAAAAAAGCCATGAAATTTTAGGTTTCCTATATAAGTCCGGAAAGCAATCATACGCAGAGTTAGCAAAATTGTATGAATGGAATCAAAACATTGCTTCATATAGCTTTAATCATGATATAAGAAAAGATTTATATTTGGTCAATAGATAAATTCTACGAATAGCTTTCGCAAAGAGTTTTCTGACGAAATATAAGTAATTTTTAAGATTTTAAACTATCAAAGATAGATAGTATCCAAGGAACATATTCATTTAAAATAATATGATGAGAAATTACTAACCTGTGCGAGGTCATTGCTGATACTTAGTAAAGATTCTCCCTCTCTAACCCTAGCTTCAAGACTATTGAGCCATACTGAACGACATTCAGATAGATCGGGAGCATGGCCGTGCCAACTGGGAGAACTGGATGCTGGAAGAAGAAATAATAAAGATAAGATAGAAAAAACAAAGATAAAAGATAAACATAGTAAGGAGTAATAAGACAAAGTCCACAAGCTAAGAATAAAATGGTGAAGATGATATTTCGTATGCAGACAAAGACATGTATGTATTTGTAATATCATGCCAAATGAATAATAGTGGTTAAAGAACAAAAGATGATGCAAAGAATATAAAACGTAAGAGAGGATAGGAATTTAAATTTAAAGTTAAAAATGCAAACGTGATTAAAAGTTGTCAATCAAAAGTTGTCAATTATATGAATAAGAACATGCCTCCCATACCTTTTTGATCTCTATATAATATTAAACCCAGTTCATAAAATACCCCAAAATATATGATATCAGTGGTGCATGATTTTAGAATATATAGCATAAATTTTAACAACCACATTTAGTCACAAGAAGGAATAAATACTTCTAATATTATAATTGCGAAAGTTTGTGAGTGTGTGTGTGTATGTTTGTTACTTCTACACGCTCAAACGGCTGAACCGATTTTGATAAAAATTGTATACAGGAAGCTGACGTCTAGGAATAACACATAGGCTACTTTACAACCCGGAAATCCCAGAAATCCGCGGGTAAAACCACGGGGCGCAGCTAGTTTAATATATGACGTATATATTTTAACAGAACTGTGTCAGTTATAAATGATACTAACAATACATTAAGTCGTTATTGGATACGATGTCAACATTATCTTGCTGATCTGATGTACTGGCTGATCCACGGTAATCTATCATATGTTCTGGACTGTCACCATCACGACCTGTTAGAAGTTCAACAAATAAATTTAATATATACATACGTAATAGAGTCTTAATATAGATCAGCATCTTATATGGTGCTTGGCAGTCTTAAATGGTAGTTTTTGTTGACTAATTGTCTAACCTTTTAACAAAGCTTCCGATCCCAATCTCCTTATCAGTTGCATCTGTCTATCATTAGGTGGATCTAGACCCAGATCGTGGTAATTCTCTCCTGACTGAAGACCTGGTCGTGGGCGCTTTGGGCGTTCTTCTTCGATATGGGATGTTAGGGTGCATCTAGAAATTGTGCAAATGAGTTTGGGTCAAACGTATGTGTTAATATTATTATAAGAGACAAATAGAGGAACAAATAATAACATTTTTTTTATGTCAAAGGTGGCAAACGAGCAGACGGCCTACTAGATGGGTGGGAATCGGGAAATAGCAGGAAAGGGAGGGAATAGGCAACCGGCTCTCTCACTCATCGGACGAAACACAGCCACTAAAGGCTACTTCACGCCGATGTTCTGTGAGAGAGTGGTACTTCCCCGGTCGAGCCTGTAACTTGGCTACAGCTAGGCTCCTAAAAAACTGATAAACTTAGGATTACTTACTTCCATCTAGCTAAACCAGTTGCTCCACCAGGGCAGGGTTGTACAGCATAGGAACCAGCTAACGTCCAGTTCCAATGTAACCCTCGCGCATTGGTTTGAGGACAATACGCACGTCTGCCTATTGGAGTCGAGATGGTAGCTGGTAGAAAGATGTAAAGTTTAATTAACTATCACTTGGTATGTGGTCTAATATTTTGTTGTTTTATAACGACTGGATAGTGCTCTTATACTATATGCTAGCTCCTAGACTATACCACCCATGGATAGGTAAAAATCGTAGATGGTAAAGCTACATTAAGAGTAACAATATCCACTTTACCTTGAAGAAATTCAATTTGTCATATTATTATTGGACTATCAGCTCGTGAATGTTGTGATTATTCTGTTATAGGTACTTTATATATTTCCTTTTTTTATTTGGTGTTTTAATATTGGAAGTAAGAATAAGAAAATTCATTTAATTCTTTATGTCACATTAATTTAATTTTTTATGTTACATTATGTTAATTTATGTTTGACTTACAGAATGTTTTGTCGAATTCGTCGATCACATCAGGTTCTGAAGGGGGGTTGTCTCTAGGAGGTATGTAGATTGATGATGTGGAGTCAGAATCAGGTGCCCAGTGTACTACTTCGTCAGTAACTGCAGCTGAAGTCAATATTCTTATTAGAACATCTCAAAAGCAATAATTACTAATTTTTAGGGGTACAAAAAGTATACGTACATATTTCTTCATCTTTTTCTTTCGGCTTCTCTTCTTTAGGAATCTCTGGTTCTTCAACTTTGGTTTCTTCGATGACTTCTGGTATTTTCTCTACAGTTTGCGGAGGTTCCTTTTCTGATGATGAATCCGGTTGTCGCGTTGTTGTTTTCTAAGAGAATACGTACAATTTATGCAAAAATCCTGGTATGGGTATTGGATTATTTTGAAAATAAATATACCTTAGTTCCGACGTTTCCGAGCTGAACTTCTGGCGGTAATGTTATATGAGGTCTGAATGTAGGTGGTGTTATGACCGTGGGTTTTTTCTTTTCTTGTTGGGTTAGCACTGGACTCTTAGGCACCGGTGGGGCTGTTGACCTCCAAACTGTCGGTTGTGATGTAATCAACCAGGGTGGTGATGGCCTTGTGGTCGTACTTGTTGTTGAAGCTGGATGTAAAATGGTAGGTCATAAATTCAAGGGAAGATATATGGTATCTTCCCCATGTGTGCACAGCTTTATACCATTAAATTGGAATGAATTGTTCGTAACGATGTCGTCAGGGTGAATTCACATAAGATAACAAACAGTGAATTAAATTTAGCTAAAATGGTTATAGGGTACAAACAATGATTCCTTTATTTTTAACAAGAAAATTTTATTATTGATGAATATGAAGTGAATTTTATATAAAAAATGTGTAATATTTACTTACAGTTTGTTGTCTAAATAGTATCAAATTATCTAAATATATGAATGTTATAAGTATGATCTTACCTGGTACGCATTGGTAGTGAGCTTCCAAATATTTGAGTGTGTTTGGACACGGATCCCCGAACATATTCGTGCTGGCTAATATACTACAGTTTTGGTGCATACTGCATCTAAAGACCGAAAAAAAGTTTTTTTAATATAATTAAATATCTTTTGAACTCTCCTAAAATATTTAATGTTATTTACAGATATAATAATACATTTTTTAATATTATGTTTTGATGCAAGCGCAAGTCATGGATATTCTCCTTGAAGAATATTGTCCATTGCTATATAAAGTTCAGCAATTGCTTGAGTAAAAAAAATGTATATTGTGACCGAATTTATTATGAAAAACGTAATTTATACTACAAATAAACGTAGAAATAAGATAAGTTCAGCATTTGAGCAATAATATCAATTTACACTTAATAGTATCATGGATTTGTTGTTAAATAAAAACAACCCGAAAATTGGTAGCTAAACAAAATGTAATTCGGTTTAATAATGTCCCAACGACGTAATTACAGGACGGTTCACTTAAAAACAATCGATTTCAACGTCATTAACATGCGTCTAAACTGAAGAGTTGTTCAAATGAAGTTGGCAAATACAAGTGGGTAGTACTTAAGCCATAAATGATTTGATCTAGCCTATCAAACGGTTAAGAAACACAATTAAATTTTGTTAAGTGAACCCGTAGATTTATGTTTGATTGTTATATGAAACAGTTATTTAATCATCGGCTGAATACAAGTCATAATATCTCTTTACTCTAAATACCGTGTGGTTGGATATACAAGCAACAATTCCGTTGCCACAATAACATTATGTTACAAATTAAAGCATGTTATAGACAACCAGATATAGTTACCAGAATTATTTCAGCTTATATTGCAATTTCATTAAAATCTCCTTCAATATGGGATTTACAATTCAGTTGTGTATTTCGTTTGTAAACCGAAATATTCCTTTGTTGTATTGTATGCAAACGTGATACTAATTTATTTGTATTTAATGATAATTAATTAATGAAATGTATATGTATATGAAATAACATTATATATAAAACAAAAGATACAACTATGCATTCTACATAAAAGTTATAGATAAAAATATTTTTTTGTAAAATGTATAATAGAATCGAAACTGAATGTTTTAACGTATGGATTATTCAATTTATCTGAAATGGTCTTAATGGATTTTGATAAAAATTTTGTGCACATCCGGATTAAATCTATAACAGGAGATTTTAATCTGTTCCCAACTAAAAACATATCAGGTTATGTTCTATTTAAAACATATTATACAATTGTCCTTTTTGTGTATATGTGACAAAGAAAACTGAAGAGACAAAGGTCTGATATATCGCCTTTAAGATTGAAAAGATAACATACATTTTTGTAGACAGTAGCTATTTATTTTTATTATTTTTATATCTTAAAAAGTCATTTGCAATACCTTCCTAGTTTTGTGTAAGTATCTTAATGTTAATTTTATTGTAAATTATACATAAAAAAGATAGCTTAGAACAGTATTTAATGGATGTTAAACTTCTCAGTCTTGTTACAGATCAAGGCAGAAAAAAATTGGTAATTCAATGGAGGAAAAAAAATTTACCTGCTATGTAAAACCCGTAAACTCCTCGTGCTCATACAGTTGACGCTCCAGTCAGTGTTTCCATGGTCGTTGCAAATGGTGATCGAGAATCTTCCATAATTGGCTCTGATCAGGTGAATGACAGATCCTTCACTGCAGCCGATCTTAAGAGTCTTGCCCTCGCAAGCGTAAGCTGTCTCGTACCGTGGTTCTAAAAAAAAAACATTTCATTAACCAAAAATACGTTTAATAATAAGGCCGAAATAAAAATACGCTTATCCGCCAAAAATATGCTGGTAGTTAGCGAACTAAAGCGATGGAAATAACTTAGCACCTAACAATGTTGTCGAAAAACAAGCCGTGGCTCAGCCATTCATTGCGGGTGTTCCAGAAAAACAACATTGAAAACGTACAAAAATAAATCCAATTAAACGGATCCAGAATTGTTCTTCCCATCGTTACGTTCAGAAAGCATTTACCAATTCAAAAGCAAACATCCAATGGAAGACAAAACGTAAAAACTGTCGACTCAACGTTCCATAATCAATTCCTGGTATCATCAGCTGCTGAGCGACGCGGGAACAATATTTTCTCAACTTAAAATGACGTACATAGCTTCAATATTCGCGGATTAGTTTTTGAGCGTGTAATTTAAGATGCAATGGATGAGTTTGTAAGAAGATTTATCGCTTCAACTTCAAAGCGGGTTAGGTGTGCATATTCTGGATAGGATATAATAAATCTGGCCAAATTAATGACGGCACCGACAGATCGTTTAAGGCGTTTTCGCAACGTCATACAACGAAATGAGGGCCCGAACAATACATAATATACCTACTCTGAATCTTACAATAGGGTTGCGATGTAAATTAGAAAAATGTCAATAAAAACGAATTTTGCTATAGGAAATTTTTCTTTAAAGCGGCTGGTATATCATCAATCTAAAGTTCAGTAAATTAATGTTGTGACGTATCTGATAAGGCCGCTCTATAAATAATATCGAGTCTGAAGCATTTGTAGGTTTAATCTAAATACCTTGTTAGTTTTTTAAACGTTTCTACTGGTGTTTTAATTACAATAGTGAGGGGACATGTGTTCCACGATAAATTACACACATTTGTCACTATCGACGAACGAACCTCTAATTTAATATCGAATTGATTGCTTTAATTATTAGAAGCATTCCGTCCTTCGATTTGATGTAATGGGGATATAAATAAAACAAATAATATCCATTCGTGATTTACGAATATCAGATATAATAAAACTTGTCCTTTTTTGGAGATACATATAACTGACGTGTGCTATAATTAACGTACTTTTATTGATAGTTTCCTTACAAAATAAATATATAAATATATTATTAAATACTTCCATATTTCAATTAAGATTATCAATAATGTGTTCCGATGCACGCGAAACTGCAGTTTGTATATAAATATATGAAAACGATAAAAACTGTCGAAAAAGCTGCATCACGATGACCCTTATGTGCAATAAAAATGATTTATTACATGACTCATACCTTGTTATGAAGGGATGAAAACAATTTACGATAAACTTCAGAAGGGGATAGGGTAATTTTTCGAAGGTAGAAAACGGAGTACCCGACGTTTAATACAAGTTTTTCAAGTATTATATAAACGCTACTTTAACATTGTTAAGTATTAAGGTTCTAAAATATGTGGTACGTAGTGTTGCCCAAGTTTATTTTTAATCTGATGTGAATGCTTTTTCATTAAAAGAGTTTGATAATAATATAGCTACTTATCATACTTCAAAAAAATTCAAACGCACTTTTATCATTATTATATGTATCATATAATGTAAACAATATTTTGGTTCAAATCATTAAACTAATTAAGGCTATGATATACAATAGTATTGAAAATAATTTAAATAATCATTGTAGTCATTCACTCGTACTTGATAATATTTCATTGTACTAGTAATCGTTGACATCCCTATGCATTTGAATTATTGTTTATTAATCCGCAGAGAGCACTTCTGTTCACGTAAAATTGTAATTACTTTCGTGTTTTACTTGACAATTCCTTTCATACCACAGCCACACTCAACACTATTGAACCGCTTATCCTTATTGGGACCGGATAAGGTTTAAATTCGTTCGTTCCTATGAAATAAGATAATAAGCCCCTATCGCAAAAACTCGTTAGCGAATATATGTGAATGTCATTTGATATCCAACCGCCGAACGGCGCGGACGTGCCGATATCTCAATGATTCTAAAATAGCTGCTGTATATTTGTAGCAGAGTTCAAATTAACTTACACGCCAAATGCAACAATGAGCCCCGGTGAATTTAATTCCGCATCCCATTAATCGGCGTCAGTGGCCTTTGGGATTAGAGTAAATTTTATTATGAGAGCGTCAGATCTATTTGATGTTCAGGTGGTCGTTGTGTTAATACACGAATGTAAATGAGAATTAATGGTTTTGAACGGAGCAATATTAGTATTGCTTTTAAATTTTTTTGCTCTATGAATATAAATCGCATAAATATCGTAGATATTTTTAATAAACAAGGTAAACAGTATCGGTACACGCAATTTGAAAGTGTCTGAACCGGTAATATATCGATACCTCTATCAGGGTCATAAATTATACGTAGCACTAAACCCATCCCGGTAAAGTGGCAAATTGAAAAAGCGTTTTATAGTGTATTTATGGGCTCCCGCAGGAACCCGTCAGTGTTGTCATGGAAAGATTTTTGGTATTCCAGATGTTTGAATGGCATGGCTTTATGATGGTGAATGTCAAAGGAAAGGGACTATCCCTTTTATGTAAAAATTGTATTACTTAAGTTTCCTATTGGAATTTTTGTTATGAATGTGTAGAAGATGTAATGACTGTTATTGTTCACATGCAATAAAATAAAATTTAATATTCAGTCATCTGCCACTTAAGTGTTGGTATGTAATACTAAAAAGAGACAAGTTTTTTATTTTCTCAAATCGATTCACAGCTTAGCCAAAAATGAAAACCAAATGATATCCGAAATAAAATAAAACGTGACAATTTTAAACGTCAAATACGCCCCTCTGATTTAATTATTAAGAATTTGCATATTTTCCTCTGAAAACTGAAACGTTCTGGTTTGGAGTAGGGAATATTTATAGCGTTACATCCACACAAGCACGGCACTTATCAAGAACGTAAAACTTAGTTTTATCTCTCTTTTAGTATTGCTTCTGAAAGCTGTAACTATTTTATAAAATATCCTGTTACTATTATGTTTTAGACGCGATAATATTTTCTGATAAACACTTATATGAAATACATTTTTATTTATATCTTATTAATTGTGATACCTAAATCATAGGCAATAAAATTCTGTCAAACCGATTGTCCATTTATTCTGTCAGTTACAGCAACCGGCAATAAAAATGATATAAACTAGTGGAATTCTAACATTATGATGTTAGCAGAAAATATGTTAACAGTGTTGCAAATATTTTATTCAATTTATAAGGTTTCCGTAAAAAAATAAACTGAATCATCAAATACCACATATATCACCTTTAAACGTTTAAAATGATTATCTGGAAAGAATCCTACTATCCAAATGTCAGGGAAACCACATACAAAATTTAAAAGATTCAGCTCGGGTGCCGTAAATCCAATGCTAGTTGGAAATGTTGAGCCGACTTGACGTCTGCAACCAACGTCGATCGATGAACAGTCGAACGATTTACACTAACTTAAAGAGAAAAATAGAGAATTTAAAATATGTTAAACAAGTGAACAGTTTGCCGGCTTCAGACTAAATAAGACTTAAACGAATTGGAATAAAATAAAAAAGTTTGATAGATAGATTAATTGAGAATGCATCGAGACGTCATTTAGACTAAAGAATTAATGAATAAGAGATTAATAAAATACCAATAAAAATAAATGAAAATAAAATATTGATAATATAAAAGAAAATACTATTAGGTTATGGTAAATTTGATTCGTAAAAACAAAGCATGTGATTTTACGCATGTCTGAACATGGAAATTTGTCCGAAATGGATATTAGTATACTCTATACGATAAAGGGATACCATCAGGTTACCTTTGATTGTCAAACAAGATTATTACGGGCGAGTGCACGTCTAAAGCTAAATGAGACATACCAAACCCACTTCGGGACCATTCGACGTCAGTTTAGTCATTTAGTATCATATAATAAAGGTCAGTTTTGCATATCAAAAGATTTGGACTTGACGAAAAATCGCAAACAATTTTTATACTAGCGTAGCTATTATTTGGTTTAGAATAAGGGTCATAATCAGATGTCAGCAATTGAGTGCTAAGAGGAAATCGTCCACATTCATATCATTTCGAGCCAACAATGAGGGGTCGGGCGGAACGGAAAAGAACCCTTAGGGGTTTTTTTTAACAGTTTTTGGGTGATGTATGCACCCCCGGTCACGTCTCATATGAAGTAGCTTCCTGCATAAGCGGTTTCATTTTTCTTTTTGGTTTTTGGGACTGTTAATATAGGTTTATATTTAGATGACAGTTACAATTTATTTATTTTCGATATAGATTTATAAACAACTATATAAAAGATATTAAATATTCTATGAAATTTCAAAGGCAAGATATTTTTGGTTATCTATATCTAATATATTATGAGATTCTCAAAGAAATAGATTTCTTTCCATAATATTTTAAATTTTTTTTTCAAAGTATTTCCACTTAGAAATAGCCATAAACGCAAGTTGCACTAGCCCTGAATTCTAAACAACACGTGATTTACTCAGTACCCGAATAAGACGCGTGAAGATTTCTGCCCTAGGGGAAGTGAGAATTGCAGGGGCCTGTCAAATAAGATTTTTTCCTCAATCGAAGGGCCCAAGGGCTCCCTCATGTCCGGTCATACAATTTAGTACGTTAGGGTACTTGCTTCCATTTAGTCTCAACGATCTTGGACTGTGTTATCGAAGCTTAACTGGCTTGGTGAACAACTTTCGTCTATTTGTCCCTGAGGTGAATTGATACAGAGTAAACAACTGCACAATTACATATATGGTCGCATAATCGTATGTCATTTTCCTACGCTATATACAGTATATAACTTTTTCTATGTCTTCTTACTTTTTAAATAATTTTAAAATTACATTCAACCTAATTTAGGACGAAAACTTTCCAAATATTTTAATTCTTTTTCATTATAAGTGTGGAACCGAAAATTCGACCCAATTTGACCTCTGTCACTATGTAATTGACAGATATTTTTGTGATAAAATGTATAGCTGACACTATATAATTCAATTTTCATATCTCTTATTTCAGTAACTCGAGATAGTTTCCCCTCCTGCTCGCCCCACACTTGGCGAAGTGCCTGAATTATTTTTTAAGTGTTAAAGGTTTTGTGGAACCCCAGCTGGGGATATAAATACATCCGGTGTTGATATAGTTGGATGTATCTCAAGAGGTTTTTTATTTCATGGTTTCGTTTCATCGGGGTTCAAACTAAACACAAATGAAACAATAATAAATAAGAGTATATGTACATATGTATATTTGACTCATTTTAAAATAGTTACTGAGGTTATAACGGATCAATAGTCCATTGAGCATGCCATGTAAGATTCCTGAAGTTAGAAGGTATTTACTTCTTAATTCCCACTCGAAACCGGTATGCGATGTCCTCGTAACTAGAGCACATGCGGCTATTGAGATCTCTTATGTGGCTTCTTGAGATACCGTCATGGGACATTTATTTGTAATATTCATTCAATTACTTTAATATCTTTTAAAATTTAAATTGTTTCAAAATTATTGTGCGAATAAATTACTTCGGTCTAAACGCAACATAATTATCACCTGCGTAAAATGAAGTCGACAATTTTGTTTTGTCATTTACAAAATCACTTCGCCAAAGTCATTACTTCACTGGTCAGTATCGAATTGCATGCGGTTGTAACAAGATAGCCATTGTTCGAAAAGGATATGACCGGAATGCGGTCGAAGCATGGGCTATACAATGAAATAAACCTAACAAAGTATACGTAAAAAATTATCTCTTGAATAATAAACAAAATGAATAAAAGATTTTGTAGCGTTAACAAAAACAGTATCGAAGCATTTTAATTCGCATGTAATTTGATGATAATAACGTACTAGAAATATGTTTCTATGACAGACTGTGAGTCAAAACAATGCAAGGACGACAAATGTACTATACATGCCAAAGCAAGAGAAAGCTTTACTATCAAACCGCAGATACTAGAGTCTAGGCGATCATTACTGTTCCCGGGATTCACTGAGATCGCACGAGATTGTGATGGAACAGACGTCGAAGTGGTCATTAACCACCTTTTTCTAAGAAAATAGTCTCAGAAAACATTTGACTTTTATTTTCGCTAAGCGATCCAGACATTCAGGAATATTAACTTAACCGGCTTTGAGCTATTGTTTCAGATAACGAAATTAAGTAATCGGAAATGGTCCAAAATTTCATATAATATAAGAAATAAAAAAGTTTATATTTAGTGCGCGTAGAGTCACGCCCATCGCGTAATAAACTGGTCACCACTAAAACGTAAACGAGTTCTTTTCATTATAAACAACCCACCATAATTGTAGCGGACGAAATGCTCTTATCACGCCCATATTTCACCAACGAGCCTAACATTAGTTTGAATAGAAAATACAATGGCACTGAGAATAAAAAAAATACAAATTACCTCCCTTCACCTCGATTAAGTGATCATTACAAGAAAAAAATACCATTTTTAATGTTGTACCAACATGGAGTCGAACAAAATAAGAACATCAGGAAATTGCGTATTCTGTAAAAAAATAAATACAACGAGAAAATGGCAGAAAGATTTTGACGTGACATGTCGCCATCTTGGAAATGTTTTGAAACGTCAATGGGGTCACGTATTTCTATTTTCTTAAACAAATCTCGATTTGAATCGCTTTCATTTCCCCTTTTTTTCGTCGAGCATTGTTATTTATTCAAACAATAAACAGTTACGTGATGGAACAGACGAAATATAAACGTTAGTGGTTAAGGTAAAGGTCCACGTTAACAGAAACTGAACAACCTGCTGAATATACACTTTGCACTTCTTCATTCAAAATACGCTTTTAACACAACGTTTCTATGAAAAAGAATTATATTTTTCGTGTCACTCATCACGGTATAATGTGTGAAATAATATTTCTCAGCTAGAGGGCGCCCGAGGCAGTTCTAAGAGGTAGGGCGATCCCGCGAACGAGTAATTCAATACACAATATACCCCAAGGAATATAGGACGCTTAGGTACACGCAATATTTGATTTGCGGTTTTTGCTTATGATTAAGTTTATTGTATTAATTTGCACGTGAATTAGATACGATAAATATTATGATAATTATGTGTAAAATGTTAATAGAAAATTGTTAATAAATATAAACAAAACACGAAGCGTTACAAAATATAAAAGTCAATATAAAAGCACTCCATTAGCCACCGGAGACAGGACGTCATGTCATCAACAGATAAGACGATCATTTCAAACAAATGCGAATTTCTCCCCGCATTTTCAGTGCAAAATTTAAGAGTACAATTCCTTCGAATGATTGCGAGATTAGCTTGTCCTTTCAAATCGGATCGTAATACGAAAACTAGGAGATATATCCGAAGTGGCACGAAAGAATTGGCGCGATATCGCGCGCTGTCATGTGTCCGCCATCTTGGTTTACACTAAACGTTTAGAAATCGGTGTTCACCCGAACGAAATGTCATAGAAATAAATTCAATTAAAATATATAGGTGATATTCAATTACAGATTTTCAGTACGCACGATTCATTATTTATAAGATGTTTTTCTAAATTAACCACTATGAAACCTTCAATAATTTTAAATTAAATTATACGTTATGAATGTTTGAATGAAAAATAGGCGAGATGGGAATCAGCAAATTATTTTTATATTTAATATTAATTCAAAAACGTGCTCAAAAGGTTTAATTTAAAACAATCAGTAAACATTACAGCATTCCGAAGTCATGTTTTCAGTTTGCGTGACTAAAGATAATAAAAACTTGTACGCCAAATTTGATACACTCCCAATTTAACTGGTACATCTTTATCTAAATCGAAACATATAACACCATTACAGCCTTCCGGACATGGAAAATTTATTCAAACTATAAAAAAAATTGCAATAGTAATATTTATATCACAGGGCAACTAACTTCAAGTAATAATTTAATTACAACATTTCACGTATTTCCGTGACTGTTTTAATTTATAACACCAAGACCATAAAAAGCTCGGTTCAGTTGAACAAGTGACTTGAATATATTTCGGGTGTTACTAATATTCAAAATACTCCGGCCCAAGCTGATGACTACTGTTATTGGATTTTTACGTAAATTTCGCTTTTGTTGAGCTCATTGGCTAGATTATAGATGCTAATGTGCTTATTCGGGCGCCGTCAGATTTGACTGCGTCGATAAGCGGGTAGTACGGGATTTTTGGACGTATAATGCGTGTCAGAATGTATTTTTGGCGGCAATCCTGCAGTTTATGGCCGACCAAATGTCGGTTACAATTTTATTAAGGTCAATCTCCATATAAATTAGATTGGTTATTACCTGACGATTTTGTTAAAATGATGAATTTTTTTTTTCACCACACTTTGTTGTTTATGGTTATGAAAATGGTAATTTTTGGTATATTTTTAAAAAATATTAGATGTTATTATCGTAATAATCAATAAGTACAGTAACTGGGTTAATATTTAAATTCATCGTGTCTACCTCCATCCTCCATCCCAGGTATATACTTATTTTCAGTCACGACTACTATTACTTCGTGGTTTACACACGTCTCTTTAGTGTGAAAATGGGATATAATTTTGGAGAAATAATCAAAAACTGGCTCGCGTGCCCAATGGGCATTAGCGGAGCCCTACCCAAAGCGGCCATGTTAATGTTGCCAGGTACATAACGCGGTATGTAACGTAATGAGCCGAGGAAAATTGTGTTGCCATAAAAATAATTGTATTCTACCCCCCGTTTCTTATACGTCACTCGATTAGCTACATTATGGTTTTTGTTTGGGTTTTCTATAGCTGTGCGGTGACTTGAAAATAAGGAAAATACCGAATTAGGTTACTCATAATGTCATTTGCGAGGTTATCTAAGGATATGATAGAATATTAACATTAAAAACATGAACATGTATCCAACTTGTTTCGAACTTAATGTCTAAAATATTATATTTGGAGTAAATAAAAACTAAATTTTGCATTTTGATCTGACGTCAGACATGCTCGGAAACAGTAAATTTTCTATCCCGAATGTTCTCGAACGAATATTGGATTTATGTGTTTGATTTCTCTGGCTTTTACGTTCCTAGTGAGTGCTCGAACAATGCTCTGTTTGCGTGTTTCAGGAACTTTAAGTTGATTGCTACAGATCTGTTGTATATCATTTATAAATTCGAAACAGTTAATTCTGCAAACAACGAAGAAAATAAAATCCTTTTTAGCCAGACAAATTTGAATATATAAAATTAATAAAATATAGGAAAAGGATTTTGTATATTTCTCTTTATCTTTCTTTTCTTTTTAATTGCTAGCAATTTCGCTTCACAAAAAGAGATTGTTAGATTTCAGTAAGATATAACGTGGAGTCACAATCATCGAAAAGATTTAATCAATCCGTACAAAAGGAAAAAATATAAGTTGATTGCTGTTCAATTAACAAGACTATCGAAAAATAACTGAACCAAACTGTATTGCAATTACGATATCCGAGGGTTAAAGTGGAATCGGACACTTGGAGCGGATTAATAATATTTAGTGAAGATCTTTTTATTTAAAATAATATTATAAAATTTAAATGCCGCTAACCAAAAACTTCATTGTAATTTGCAAGCCGATAATCTTGTATTTAAAGAGAATGTTGTATCTAACATCTGGCACTATTTTAGATGACTCTAGAATGACCAAAACTAAGCTATTCGGTCAACCATGCTGTTACTGGGCCAGTACCAAAATTTGTAATAACCGTAATAAATTGCTATCCAATCCAAGTTGGTCTAATAAGACGCGGGTTTCAAGACCAAGTACCAGGATTTCATAGAAGGTAAGATAGCCATTAATTTAATTGAGTTTGGATACAGTTTAGGGTTAATTGATATAATGTCGCCCTCCCAGAGTTGGGGAAATCAAAGGCTGGATTGTAGCGTTGATAGCGTTTAATAATTTTCTGAATATTTAACGTTAAATTTACATGTCATTCACATCATAATAACGCGTCAATGTAAATTCATTATAATATAGAAAAATTAATACGGCTTTTATAAATTAAAAATGTATGTTTCATTTAATATGATGAAAGTCGTCATTGAAATTTGAGATGACGTCAAAATTTCGGTACGAACCATACATTAAAGACTAAGCTATATATAATTAAAGTATGTATATGTTATTTTTCAGTCATTAAACAACATTAAGTGTAATTTAATGGACGCGGCATTATTTTACAAGATCTCGGAAGCCGTACTTTATACAATATTTAAGTGTGGATGTGTTGCGTAATAATAAACATTAAAAGTCAATGAGAGCACTTCTGGCGTAATTTTACTTGCACGGTATACTGTAGCACCTGCTGCCATCTGCGCCCCAACGAACAAAGAAAAACATTCTAGTGTACAATTACGCGGACATTATTCACGAAAAATGCATCAGACGAAAAATTATAGCCCTAAAAAGCATTACAACACATACTGTGCATTGAAGTAAAGTGAAGTGGGGGGTTGCGATGGGGCCAGAAGGGGCCTAGGGGGCCTGGGGGGGGCAGGGGAGACGCAGACGAAGGGGGAATAATCCGATAATTATCGGCTTAACTGTACACGACATTAGCAGGTGGGAAACGCTGGGGCTCAGGTGATCCCCATCTAGGTATTTTAGTGTTACATTGACAAACGCTACCGACTGATAATTGATTTATGTGGGATTTGTACGTAATAGAGTTAGCTCTGGAAAAATAAAGGGCATTGGGAGGGTTTAAAAAGAATATGTGGCTGTTATTGGGGGATGCTGAATTACCTTATGAAATGAGAAGCTTATGTACGCCACTCGGGAATTGCTTATTCAATTATTGTGTCTTAAGGTTTTGTATTGAGTGAGTGAAAATATATAGAAATACATATATAATAATACTTGTTTACGATTAATGCAATGAGAAGCGAATATCTACCGGCTTTATGCCTTGTATCTAATGATTTCATTTCATAATCAAACCAGATTTTATCAGACGGGCTTCCAAGTTTGAACCTGCTTTGAAAGCTGGAGCTTTGTCTATTGTTTTCATATTGTTAATGGAGTCTGTACGTTTGAAACAAAGTAGAGATAGATCGTGACCCTCTGAGATACAAGCTGCTATTAAAACATATTATTCATACAATATTACCGAGCTATCTAAATGAGAATGAATGGAAATCAGTGTTATTTCTTTAAATTGATCCATACTAATTATAAAACTAAAGAATGGATCCCTAATGGAGGGTTTCCAGTACTGTATTATCAAATGCACAGCTTAAAACGGTTCCCGTGTTTGGAGCTGGATAACGTATGGTCTATCGAATTTTAATACCGGATTTACCTACTCTGTGGTAATATTAATCAAGCAGGCGATTTTAAGCCATCCATCGATCGGGTTATGATCGTTATTCGTGTGTTTTCAGCTTGATTGGTTTATGCGGATTAAAAGCGTCTTTCCAAGTGTTTTATATTAATTTCAGTTTCGAGCCATATTAGTTATTGTCCGTACTTTGGACGGCTTTATCGATGCTATGTCTGTTACAATATTTAAAATTTATTTATAATATTTCGTTGCTCCTAATATTCATTTCATCTAAAGCTGATTATCGAAATTAATATATTTTAATAAAGACTCCCAGGCGACTGACTAATTATCCTCACTCGTATAAAACCAATTTAAATCTATATATATCATATAAAATAAATTCAAAGAATGCCTACTAAATGCCTTATATAATTACTATTTGGAAATAATTTTCATTTATATAAACTATATATAAATGCAATGTTAAACAAAGATTTATTCTATGAATTATTTTACTTGATTTAAAAATATAATTATAATGAAAATTTATTAATAACTTTATTACGGTAATACTAATTAAAATATGTACCGCATGTATCACGATTGTGACACGTCCTTATCCATATTAATGGTTTCCTAAAACATTAATTAATTTCATATTACGTATTTACTTACATAAACCTAGCGAATGTTTATCATAACACATTACTTATACCGTGACTCCGCCGGTTGTAAATCATACTTATATAATGCGATATTATGTGTTTCTTAAAAAATGTCACGTACAGATTTGGGTGATATTTTTATACTAACTTCTGTTTTGTTTTCTGGTAATGCTATCTTCATATACGTGGGCGAAGACGTGATGTCGAAATAGTTTCAAATAAATTTAGGTATGTAATAATATATATTTATATTATTAATTAAAAATAATCAAAAGGACTCCATAAATAAACAAACGAAAACCCGTTTATTTCCCTAAAATATGTTTAAAATAAAAAATAAATATTTTAGTAATGTCATTTATCCATTACTTTTTAAACGCACTTATCAATTTAGGCCCCATACAAATTATTTAGTAACATTATATCTATATATTTTGTTTGTTTTATTAAACTAAAAGCTCATATAAAAGAAGAAGTAATTAATTTGATAGCGCGTAACCAAAAATCAAACAGGATTAGCCAGGAGGAACAGCTAGTATTAAGATAAAAATATAGTACAGGCTATGCCATAGTGCTTAACGTTTTCCTGGTTAAAATCTACCAGCTTCCAAAGTATAATCTGTCCCTAAGCTAAATTTAATTCCATTCACATGTTTTACCGGTACTGACTAACATCCATTCAAAACTTTCACATTCATAGAAGGAAAATAATCGAAGTATTTGAAACAATGATTTCATACAATGTAACGAGTTGAGTTGTAAATTTTTACGAGGCATTTTCTAGGAAATATTAACTTAAAATAACACTTTCGAAGTAGGTTAATACTTGGGGGTAATGAAAAATTGTGCTTTCCGCAGAAACTATTGTGAGTTATTGCTGTGCAAGTTTTTACATTGGAGCACTGTAGTGTAATTTTTATTCAACTAAAACCTTCTGTGATTTGAAATGAAAATAAAACTATCATCTCTTATTCTTTTTTACCTTAATTGAAAGGAATGTAATAAAACATTTCATTTATTCCGAAAATAAATTGGAAAAGAATTCTTTTCTATGATTTCAAGACTAATATTGTCTAACAAAGATATTTTAAATTGATTCATAATAGACATGAAAGCCGCTAGTTTTGCTATTCGCGTTTTATATTTCACCCAAATTGGAGTGTTCCAGTAAAATTTTGTTGACGCTGGAGTATCATGAAGAATCAGGTTGTTTTATATAGATAAGGTTTTAAATTTAAAAGCTACCATTTTAATTTTAAACGTAAAAAATGTATTTGGTACGATAATATTTTGTTTCATAAATAGCTTCAAGTAATTAAACGCTTATCAGATTTTTCGCTCAATTTCATGAAAACAAAAATATCTATAACGAGTGTAGCAAATAGCATTTGGTTATAAATCTCCGTGGTTTACTGTGAATGAGGTATTCCTAACGGAAAAAAACAATTGGAAAACGCAATTGTATATACTTCGTGATAAAATTCAAATGATCTTGAAGTACTGATGCGAAATATGGGATAGAAGTATAAAGTTATCTCATACAAGTGAAAATAACTGAACGGTTATGAAATTTTTAATTAATAATTCATAGACTCGAATAAAATTGAACAAGTTTGAACGAAGTGCCGGTATGCGTATACAAACTGCTAATAGATTAGTTTAGGCAGTCTAGATACAACAATATTTAGATTCCATAGCGCGTTTACCTCGTGGTAATTCAAAAGGGAATTAAACTTTGGACATTCAGAGTCAGAAATTCAGAACCGCTATAAGATGTTAATAGTATTCACTTGTACCAAAGTCGTCTTTGAGATACGAGTGGAATGGCACTTTATGACAGGCTAAGTAACCTATCTAGGTGCAACTGAGGTCACTCTTACTTAACTATCAACCGATAGTATTCGAAATATATAAACAATTTTATTTAAGAATTATAAATATCGGTATAAACAATGTGAGTTCTAGATCATACGGAACCTTTTATCAGTGACATTTATCATCGTGAGTGTACACGGTACCCTAAACCTTATCTCATTCTATGACACAGCGACAGCTACATAGCAGATAGATGCAGCATCCATTAGCATTAGCGTAGTAGCTCGGATTTACATAAACAAGATCATAGTTTTACTGTCCAGTCATACGTCATTGTATATTAGATTAATTACACACACGGCCAGACAAACCGGTCAACTACATACATTGATATATTAGGTGTAATGAAACATGCTTTGATGTATGTTTTGTATGAGAGAAGAGTGTGTGTTTGATTAACATTTGGGGCGTCCGTGTGTTTTAATATAACATGACTCTGTTATAGTAACTAATGTAATAAATGAGAACAACTGTATTACTATGTATTGACAATTATATACATAAAAAATAGATTTGATTTAACTTCAATATCAATAAAAAATTGTGTATCAAGAAACATTATTTATTATTATATTTTCTGAAGTATTTTTTCATACAAAATTCAACAGCTCTAAGTAGGTAATAAAAAGCGTTACATAGAAAATATTTTTAGTCAGACACTGTTTTTGATCTGAACGACTTATGGCGTAGGACACTTTTAAGTATTTACTTGAATTATTTCTTTTTTTTTCTTACTTGCCACACAGTTCGGACTCAAAGGTGATAATTTAGGCAAGTAACTATGTTTTAGTTAAAAAATAAATGACAATTTTTTAAATTAATGAAGTAGTAATAATCACTGTAACGTGTATATATACAATAATTATTATTAAGATCTGTAATACAGGATTTAGAGTTAAATATAGGACGGAAGGCTTTCTGTATAATATCAAATAAAATCTCCATGAATACTAGAACTATGCTAGTTACAATAGGCATTTGCGGGCTCATAAAATGTTTTTATTACGCAGATAGTACTGTCGTCAGTCGTTGGCCGTTCTTTACGACCGTATGTATAATATTCGTAACGACTTATGTGGGTAGGCTTTAAAACTCCTAAGTGTATTGGAAATCTTGTATACTCATTAATTAAGGCTAGGTTTAAGTAACGCGAAGCTCATTCAAATTAAGATGAATTATTAACTAACTTCGTAGCAAAATATTCACAAGATAAATTATAAAATGACTTTTATATAAGTGACATATATGTAATTTATGGTATGTCTGCATTATTTCGTTTTTATATCGAATTACGAAAACCGCAATTAAATTTTTCTTCACAGTTATATATTAAACCTCTATAAAGTTAGATTTTATAATGATACTCATATGTTTTCCGAATGAACCAAAGAAGATATTAAAAGTAATATAAGATCAGTAATTTTAATTAAATTTTTTATCTTATCAGCCAAAATAGACGATCGTGTAACGGCAGCAACATTAGCGTTGCGGGAGACACTAATTGGTGAAATTAATAATCAAACAATGGTGAGGTATGAATCACCTGAACCTCAAGATGGAGAAGAATCGAAGAAACTTTGAACAATGATTGAGAATTGTGCGTGGCGGGGATTTATGGCCGTGAACAAAGGACCTGGTACGCCTCCTTCAAACACTTAATTTCCTGAACAAAACCCAGTTCTGATATTAAACGATCATTTGAGATTAAGGTATTGATTGCGAGGATTTCATCTTTTTAGCTTTAAGAAAATATATTCATTTTATTCTACGTCTGAAGATATATGAATATAAAATATACTATCACTGATGATACTCAATCATACATATAAATGATAATTTTAAGGAGAAATAGAAATATTGTTTACACATTGTGACAATACATACATATGGGAATTTTCACGAAATGGCTTATGTGTATGTCAAAGTTCGTCTAAATTTTGCTAGCATTAAATTGTAAATTAATATTTTTGAGTCATTTTTGTTTTTGTAAATATAGAATACTATTATAATAGTTTTTCAATAATATAATGAAAGTAACTGTTTCCTTTGGCGTTGTCAAGTGATTAAATTGTCTCAAGTACTTTAAGCTCGTAATTAATCACCCAAATCGCCTCATTAGCTTTGAACAAACGAATTGCATCTTTCGCCAATTAATCCGAAATCTACTGAACCCTTGAAAGGGTGAATGGCCTCATTAGAGAATTTTAAATGAATTACTTTTCGAAGTACATATATAAAAACGATGATTGTTTTGTACTTTTTCTTATACATAAGTTTATATGGAAACACTAAATACAAACATTCTTTCTTGTACTTAAATAGGAACGTAAAAAACTTATTGATAGCCCATAGAAATATATATTTAATGGTTGAAGATGTGGCACGGTACAGGGAATTTCCGACCGGGAAGTGGCCAGCAAATGGCGGGCTTTTGTCCAGTGAAATGCTGTTTTAAGTGTGCTTTACACGTCTTCAGAAAAAAAGCAAGGAGCATCTAAGTACATAAACGTTTTTAGCAATATATATATGATAAAAGAATGTCATTGAATTAATACATTATTGATTTAATTAAAAATTAAAATTAAAAACTACATCATCATCAGACTATCAGAGCTAAAGAGCAGTCTAAAACACTCTTAAAAATACATATGACTCGAAAAATTACATTGGTACTTGCCAGGTTCCGAACCCGCGTCCTCAAGCATAAGAGGCGGGCCTTTAACCTTTTGGGCACCACGACATTTTTTAAAACTACATATTTTTTTATTTTCAATTATTTTCACGCGACATGGCCCAGCATAATTCTTGCTTCTATTATAAGTGCGGTAGAGACTGAAGGCTTGAAGTGTCGTCTCACAATACAATAAGCTGTTCCTCACAGACCCTGAGCTACGCTTTTGTCACCAGGTCTCGATGTTTACCATTAACAAGAGCTGTGACTTATTCATTCGTCAAGCTTCTGAAGACTCGAAAGGCTATGTTTCAGACACAAAAAACGATACTTTGATGAGAAATTTTCTCTTATATGTATATTTCTTTTTCATATAATTTTTCTAACTTAAGGTTATAAGTGACTTCAATTTATTGATTTATATAATTAATAAGTTAAGGAAATTAATTGGAAATGTAAGAATTCTTAAGGGTCATTAATGTTGCAGGCAAATAGATTAAAATTCATATTATTGGTTAAAAACTATATTTTAAGAATTTTATCAATATTTATATAAAAACAAATGACTTAAAGTAATTCAAAATGTATTGGTTTAATAGGAACAGTTAATAGAATATGTGTACATTTACTAATAGATTCAGTCTAACAAGTTGCCCACGGTCAAGGGCGCTTGATTGATTACAACAAATTTCCCTCTTAATATTTGTCAAAACATTTTCCAACTCAACCGCTCTTTTAACGCTTCCATTCATAATTTTTTATCATCTAGCTGTCGAATTTTTCGTTATAATGAGTTATTTATTATTTAAATTGCTCGAGGGATGTTTATTACAGATTTTTTTCCACGATGGTTATCAACCAATTGGATTTAAGTCACGGAAAGAATACGGTTTTATTTTACAACAGTTGTTCAATTTTATTTATAGTTTGAAAGAAATATTAGATTCAGTTATAAATTATATGTATGTATATAGTTGCAAATATAATTAATTAAAATTATGTTAAGTAGGAATCAACAAAGCTGAAACTGAAGCAGCTAATCTAAAGTTTTAACTACCCTCCTTACATATAGATTCATCTCTAGGAGTCCCGTGATTTATAGGACCGAGGAAAGGGACGGGACAGTTCAGGAGCTCAGGATTTACGACTTACAAGATGTTAGAACATAGTAGTGGAGATGGCGTATTTATTATTTTGATATATTAACAAATATATATTTATTTAAACCTAAAATAATATGTATATGTAACGGTTTGAACAGCCAGAATTATTATACAGTATAATTAATTGAATGGACTTTATAGTGAAATTTTATCGTCATTGAAAATAGTAAAGCTAAAAACAAAAAAATGAAAGACAAGACAAAAGACTTTGCTTCACAAAGTGCGTTTTTTTCTAAAGTGACGTAATAGATTGGCGTTTTTTAATTTTATCAAAACGGAAGATAATTTTATATTACCTATAATATTAAAAAATGCTAATAAAATTATGTCCGTTCCGCTGTCTTTTCTACCCTACCTTTATGTCAAGCCAGAATTAAATAGTTAGTTAGAACAGCCAGTGCACTAAAAATCTTTTAAGGCTAAGAAATTAGTCTTCTTTAGCAGTGACATCTTAATTAAAGAAAATTATATTAGTTCGTTCTATATCTCTATTTACGACGATTTATTTTTGTTTTACCACTGATTTTACTCTCTATTATATAGGCTAGAAGTATATATTGTTTTCGTGAAAGTCTTTGTCGATATATTTATATATGTTTTAGTAAATGTTACTGACAAGTATTATGTCGGCGGATATAATATTTTCTGTTTTTGTATACACAGATTCATACAAGTGTATACGTGTTTATACGCGTTCGTGGGCAATTATCGCAAGTGACCAGTGACCTGCGAGCCCATGCCTCGTTTGTTTCGTCCCAGTACTGGGGCGAGTGATAAGCACTAAAAATAACATCAAAGACACTTCAAAGACTGACCGTTCAGACACTATGAAAGTGTCGCCTTTTACGAAAGGTTCTAAAAAATTATTCTATATTTAAAATGAATTGTTTGCATAAGGGATATGTTCTAGTGGAAATGACACGACGTGAATGCGTCCCACGCTTTGAAACAAAAACTTTGTAAAAGAGGTTCACTTCTATTTATATTCTAACAAAAGAACGCCATTATGTAATACAATATTTAGCTCTCGATAGCTATAATATTATTACAGTTCAATTTAGTTTGGTGTAACATAAAAAGTAAAAATCGATATTTAATAACGATATCCAAACAGTATGTATCAGAATCCAATATCACTTGTTGTATCGCCATATCAGTTGTCAAACAGTTCCATATGCGGCAACTCTAAATCATTCGTTCAATCTCTAATCTGGACCAGATAACTGTTTAAAATGGTCTGAAATTTATGCCTTTTACTTGTGTCGTTGTGATATATGGCTGTTTGTGGAAGCTGTAATAGGGTGCCCATATATTAAACGCCCTGGGAGCCTGACAGGTTGGACCACTGATTTAGACGCGCCAAAGTCACCTCTATTCCGACCACTCAAGGTCTATATGGACACGCCATCGATTGTCATAAACGATAGTTCTGATAACGCAAAGTAGCATTATTAAATATTTTGATGACAACGTTTTATGTTCGACCAACAAATTCATTGCGAGATTAAAAAACATAAAATTTAATGTTCATTGCTATCCGGAAGCTCGTAAATCTAGTAAAGGGAATATAATTTTATTATTTATTATATTTTTCGTTATTACGATGCTGGGTGTAGATCACTTCACGCTTCTCAGCCAGATATTCTCACTAATTAGAACTGTACCCGCGCTATCCGCAATCAGTTGAACATTTCCACCTTGCCCCGCTGTGATACATCTACTCTGTGTGGGATGAGTTATAGACGTTTGTTTACTATTTGACAGTACATTTTTAATGACCAAAGAATTTGTATGTACAAATATATTGTAGAATATATCTCGACTTTTGAACAAGATTATATCAATATTCGTGTTTTAAAGATCAAATATAAAAATGGCCGAAAAGGAAAAAATATAACTAAAATATTAAGTTTAGAATTTAAAAAAATGGAATTATCTGCGAAGATAAAAACGAATTTAGCTCCACAGTTGTTGAACTAATAAGGTTTTAAAACCAAATTACTATTTATATCTTAACCCAATGAGGTAAGTAAGTGTTCTCTAAAATCCTATCTTTTAATTCGTCTTTCACAACATGACCTAATTCCACAGAAGAGTCCGCTGGATAGCTCTCTATTTGGCCCAATATCTGGCACTATTCAGTAGTCACTTGATTTTAATTAGACTGCGAATCTTTCGTTTTGGACCACATCCCTTCTATCTCCCTAACAGATGACGGGTCGGAAATATAGCTGTCCAAACAGACAAGATCCCTGGCTATACATTCATCTTATAGCTTACAGTTTCTATATCGGATGCTGAGGGCACGGCGGGTGTCTAGATATACCGGTTCTGATATATCTTTGATTATCGACGCGAATTCATATCTGGTTTGAAGTGTCGTTATTTTGTTACAATTATCATCGCGAGGCAACTGATTAAGATGCATGCATGACTTATATAAATCCACTACATATGTGTGTGTGTGTGTGTGTGTGTGTGTGTGTGTGTGTGTGTGTGTGTGTGTGTGTGTATTGTGCGTCTTCTGGTTCTATGTATTTTGGAACATTGTGTTATTAGGTTAGTAAAATGTCGGACTTACACATGTTGCAAATGTCATGATATTTCGGAAAGGTCTTAAGGCGTCATATAACATTTGAACGCCGCTTTAAGAATTGTTTGAATTCCCAACAAATATTACATATTTTCGATGATAATTCTATATCCAGAATGACAAATCACAAGAAACTTATGTTAAAAAAAATTGT